ACCTCTGAAATATAAAATTACATTAGGCCTATCTATTGCAATATTACTTAATTTAGTTTCGGTCCCTCTCAAATTACAAGATAGATGCTGCTCTGACCAAGAATTTTAGTGCAGGAAAAGCAAGGTAAATTGTAATTTAATTTAATAATTGACAATTCAATATGAACTTAATAACCTAACTAGGTTTGGATTCAACAAGAGTTTATTACAACATTAACTTCATATTGTACTTGCACCAACAAAAAAATATAGTCAAGTACCGGTAACCTAATTAATTCGCGCTAACCTATTTTTCGTGCATTTTCGGAAATAATTAATAATTTACATGTGTGACCTCCGCATTTGCTTGTTTTGATTAACATGTGTTATCAGCTAGTGGAATTATTCCAGTAGTTTCAAGCAAGGTAAAATGTATTAATGTATACATTGACAAATACAAAATGGCGGATTTCAGTTATTACCAAACGTCACCATTTTTTTTAGTAAGGTCTCCGTCACACGTCAGACCCGTCAGTATATACGTCAAACACGTCAGTAAACACGCCAGACACGTCAATATTGGATTTTTTATCGGCCGAATTTCTTTATAATCCCAAGCGGTAATCGGAATTCCAAGTGTCGTCTGCTAGAATGTAGTCCAACTAAAGTCACGTGATCAACTAGCGGATTCCGTGTCAGCAGAAAATTTCTATGGAACACAAATAGTGGACCATATTCTTATGTTGTTTCAGTGACTTTTAGCAATAAATCACGCTATACGTATCTTATTTTGTCAGTCACTATTTTTTTTAAAATCGTGGTTCTTTGAAGGAATTGTCACTAGTTATAATAAATTGATATTAAAGATAAATACTAAGAGAAGTTAATTATACCACCTGGTATACATACAACGTGTTTTTCTAGACTTATTTATAGATCAAATATTGTACACGAAAATAGGTGACGCATTCTGCCGCCGTTGCCGAGTTGGTTGCTCATGAGATATGGGTCAAAGTGAAGGATTCATAAAGAAAATCGAAATAAACCAATTTTAATTATTTTGTAGAATACCGGTATCCAATGAAACATCTAAGACATAAAAAATCCAATTGTTTCTCCGTCACACGTCACAACGAAAATAGGTTAAATCCACTGTATGTAAAATTTAATTCTTGTCTGTAGCCAGTGTAAGCCAGGTGAATAGGCTACAAACTTGATAAATGATTAGCCTTCTAGAGTCTAGACTACTGAAAAAAAAATACCACTTCTTAAATTTCCGAGTCATTCTCCCTAAATATTGTTTAACAAATGGGCCAAAACCATCACCTATATTAATAATTTATTAATATTAATTAATAAGATCGAATAACTAATAATGGTACAGAAAAATGGGACGTAAAACTCTATTTCATTTCGACATTTGCCACTTGGACTCACTCCACTGCTGCTATTTTTAGAAATATTCTTTCTCTCTCCCTTTTGGAGTTTTTGCATGCCTATTTTTTGGGTAATTTTTGTTCTAGATTTGGAATTTGACGTCTGAATTTGCATTATCTTCAAGGTTTAGTGAGATGATAAGAGACAAGGCGGAAGGCTAATTCTAAAAATAGTCGATTTGTGAACTGCCAAACTCAATGAGTAGTAGTGTACTTTCAATTTTAGTACCGGTAGCTCAAAATTTTCATGGTCATCATAATATATTGAATTTTTTAGGAGACATTGAGGATTGGTCAGGCTTTAATTCGACATAATAGAAAGCTTTCAGCGAGATTTCTGGAAAAAATTGTAGAAGGTTGAATTTCGTGTTTTAACATGGGAAGAGTGAGTCCATTTCTAATAATTATTAGGATTAACCGGAGTAATTTCCCTTGATCTTGGAGGAGACACGAGAGATCTGGGTGTTAGAGACTACAAAGTATATAAACATGAAATGGCATGGAAGCAAAAAGGGAAGAGAAAGTAAATTTGTTAGCTAGTAAAAAGTCTGTTCATGCAATTTTTCCTGATGTGAAATATGGCGAAAAGTCGAAGCAAGGAGAGAACAATTCGAATGGTCTAAGTGATGTATTATTCGGTAGACTTAGCGGTGCGTCCCTACTGACTTCAGTGTTTAGTGACACTGACAGTAACATCAGGCAGACTGGAATTTGCTTCAGGTCTAAACATTTCAATTTATCACAAGATACAACGGAAGAGCTGTCAGAAAAAGACACAAGTGAATATATAAGCCTAGTTAGTGACAATGAGGTTATTTCCAGATCAGATCCATTTAAAACAAATCTAGTAAAATATAAAGGTGCTAATTATAGGAAACATAGGATTCATGCAGATTCGGCTACTTGTTTTGAGTATTCCGACCAGAAAGAAAGTATATCTGCATTAACAAATGGTCAGCCTTTTGGTGCAAATATTACTAAATCACCTTATATTAAAAGTGACAGACTTCAACCTCATACAAGGCTGAGAAGAAGGTTTCTGAAGACTGAAATTACTGAAACAGAGTCTCTTAACAAACAATCTCAGAAACAACACATCAGATGGTATTCCACAAGTGGATTTCAAAAAGCATCATCAATTTATAATGCTTCTGGTTCTTCAAACTACTTTTCGTCTAATAAAAATTTGACTGATAATTGTAAGTCTGTGCCAGAATCAAATGTAAAGTTTTACAGAACTTCCGATTTTAAGAAGAAGTCACGTAATAATGAACACAAGCTTCAAAAAACAATAAGCAATTACTTTACAGTTTCTTCGTCGAAAAACAAGATGGCAGATGATGAAAAAATGATAGACAGTCAGGACATTATTATTGATGAATATACTGAGGCTACAAAACCTCCTTCATTACCTAGTACACCATCAAAAATGTTTTCACCCATCAAACAGGTGTCTCCCTCTGTTTATGTCAGTTCACCACAAGAAAAACCAGAATATCAAGAGATATATCCAGTAAGGCCAAGAACAGATGCTGTTAAAAAACTTTTTGATGGGCAGAAGAATTGTACTTCACAATCAAAACAGACAACAAAAAAGAGAAAACGCAGTGAAAAGTCCACAGTTCCTAATAAGAAACTTAATGTACCTCTTTTAAAGGAGACTTCAATGATAGCTGATTTTATGGATTCAGACGACAGTGATTTAGTTGATGTAGATCTCCAAACTATCTCTTATGTTAATAAAACATTTGGTCTGCTGGAATCAGCTGACATGCTATCTCAGCCATTTAATACCAATTACTTTGAAATTTTGCCTCAAGAAGTTAAAGAAACAATTTTGTGTCAACTACCAATATTAGATTTGTGTTTAAATTGTAATAGAGTTTGTAGACAGTGGAATGATATCATAAGTAATGATAAGGTAAGTAATTTTCCACTCATTTTGTAATATTCAGCTATTTGTGTCTGACAAGGCTCTACATCAGGTTGTATTGTAAGATTATCATATTTTCAGTGTCTGTTCTTATTAACAAGAAAGAATAAAGATCTTTTGTTAGTGTCAAAAAATATTTACATTGAGCTTAATAAATTCTAAGATGTCTGTCTCAATCAAAATCAACAGAAGAAGTAGAAGAGTGTGTGAAATCAGTTCAGAAAGTATTCTGGTTGAAAACTTGACAGGAGGTCAAAAGGTGTTAATATTACTTCAAGTGACACTGGGTTTAATTTCATGTTCCAACTAGTTTGACATAAATGATAAGATATCATACATTTTATGCCCTCTAAATTTTTTTCAAAATTCTTTTTCATGGTTATTTTCGTAGAAATATGTAAGCTTACTGACTGTTTTGTGTTTTGTTTTTGATGGAATACAACATTTGTATGTAAAATATTTATTATGCTGAAATATCTATCTTCTTTAAGGTAGGCCCAAATACTTTGTTTTGTATTCTAGTTTTTGTATTGGAAAAAGATATATTATAAAGGACTTGTAGATGAGGTCAGTAAGGAAGAAGTTCAAAGGTTACTGAGTAGAACCAAGATGAAATTACCTGGAAAATTCATCAAACAATTTATACTGTAAGTTATTGTTCTATTACATATCCTAAAGTGGGTAGACAGTAAAGTAACCGTATGCACCAATAAATAGGGTATATTTTGATAAGCTTATATAAGTTATTATAAAGAGTTGATGGAACCAAAATTGATTTCAAAACATTTATGGAATAACATATTGTTGAAACTGGGAGACATTAGTCACAATTTCTGTTGGTATGAAGGTTGAATATCACTTTTCAGAATTAAATTGAATCTGACTTCTGCTATCTTGATTTAATTGTAAACTTAAAACTTCAAATGGAAAGCCATTTTAGGACTGGCGATACTGTATTGAAGCTGGTCTTTCGAGAATTCATGTAAAATGAAATAATGGGTAAATATGATATGATGGAACAGATGAAACTTTCTCCTTCAATTCAATATAAACCTTCAGTTGAAGTTCAAACAATTATTTACATTATCATATCCAGCTAACAATTTTCTATAATGGGCATCTTTGTTAGCTAAAATGTCATCTTATTATCGTAACCTTTATAATTTCTTTTGGCAGGTATATGAAAGATTTTAAGCCTATTAGTTTTATTGGTGAGAATATGATCAGTTGTTTAAAGGAACATACAATGTTTGATACAGCAGAGAAATTCATCACAGAATATACACCAGAATGTATCAAAGAAAAGGCAAGTCACTGACCGAAGTTATACCAAGTATTCTGTCTGTCTTTTTACAGACATATATGATTTAGTTTCATAAAAATCTATTTGTATTTTCATGAGTAACCATTGTTTTCATGCAATCTGTTTCAGACTACACCTTTAATATTGTTATCAGTCACTCAATAATTTTAGACACAATGCAGTCCAGAATTGATGAAACTAACCTTGCTTAGACACAATTTGTGTCTCAAGTTAGCTTAGTTATCATGATTTCTATTTGGAATGTTTTTTCTTTGTTTATGTCTTTGCCATTGAGAAAAATATATTTATTTTACTTAATGATTCTATTAAATATAACATATAATTGTAGATGTGTAACCCATGGAGTATAATAGCGTGTATTGTTGTACTATCTAGAAATGTTACTGATATAGAACTATTACTAAAATCTTTACTAATGACCTCATCTCAATGTTTAATCAAAGACTTGTTAGAATGTTTTTATTGTATGGCAACTCTATGTAATGGTATGATGAAAGAAGGAAGACCTGATGTGTGGAATTAGTAAGTATTATAAATGTCCTTCCTCTTATACTTGCTTCTTCTATATGACGGGATTAAACTTGTGACTTTAAATTACATGATTGCTTGAATTATTGGTTGGGCTGCTGAGGGCTCAGTGAGTTGGAGGCTTGTTTTCTAACCTGTTCAATCCTGGCATAGGTTTACATTACTTTCCTCTGTCAATGATGCAGTTTGGAGGGGCTGACATAGTCAAAGTGTATGCTGTATGCTACTGTCGTTGCTGCAGAAAAAAAACACCATTTCATTTTCAGTTTCATGGTCTTTCCTTTTACATCATCCAATATCAGTACAGCTCATTTAATATTTAACAGACTATTTTATTCTTTTATTTCAGCCTACATTACAGGTTATTTTATACTCTATATTTATTTGAGAATGCCTCAGTATCAGATTACGGAATGTTAAAAGATGCTATTAAAGAGGCTAAAGGTCAACAGACTCTGGTAAAATATGGGTAAGATTCTTCATCTGCTTGATCACTAGCCTGCTGGTTATTGGATGACTGCAAGTTGTCAAGATATTTCCATCAGATCAAAATTGTTGCTCCATTGATGATTTTTATAGTTATACACTGCTTTTCTTCATTAGTTCAACAATGAACACAAAAATTGGATTATTTTTCACTGGATATGATTAGGCTTTAACAGAATATCTTCTTAATATGTATATTAAAACTACAATTTTAAGTTCAAGTTTATGTGTGTTGAGTTGCAGGCTTTTTAAAATGAGTATTACTTTGTTGGTGATCAATGTTGAGACCAGTCACACGATAATGTTTAAATTTTTTACAATGAGTTTTCTATTTGTTGCTTTCAGAAATAGCAGCACGAATGTAAGACTAACTCATGAACAATTACGTATTATCAAGTACAATCCACATGATAGAGAAGTTATTAAAATAGTGGCTTTTGCTGGTAAGATGAAAGTACAGTATATTATCTTTATAACCCATTTGTTTGAGGCATTACTTTACAACATTTTCATTACTGTGCTACACTAATCTACACTTATAACTACTAGAATTAACTTAAAGCTACTCTTTTTGATCAAAACAATCCTATTATAATGTTTAGAAGCCTATGATTTGAATGTTGAAACGATGGTCTGAATTATATTTTTAGGTACTGGAAAAACAACAACTCTAGTTAGATATACACAACTTAGACCAAATCTCAAATTTTTGTTGGTTGTCTATAATAAGTAAGTAATATGCTTATTCATGTGTGAGTCACTTAAGTGTCTTCAATTTGTTGCTCTGTTATAAAAATATATTTTTAGCTTATTTGTTTTGTCTGCATTGAAGTTTAACCACAAACATGTATTTAGTATTTATAGATACAAACACTTGCGCTACAACACAACTTAAAAATTAGTTACAGCTTATTCTGAAAACAAAAATCTACATGATATACTTGTCCTTGGCAGACCTAATTATATCAATGATGACGAAATTCTACATAATTAATTGAATGTTCTTATTTACATAACTGTTTATATTTTGCAGGAATTCAGTAATCATTTCTCTTTAATATTTTAGAAAAAAAATTGTTTGTTCATTATAATTATGATTTTTTTTTCCACAGCGAGCTTCTTGCAAGATTTTGTAAATATTTTCGAACGCAAGAAGCAGAGTTATTGCCCTTCCCCCAAAATCTTTAATATTTACCATCCGCATGCCACAGTGGGCGTATATGGCTTTGGACCACTATCTTCTTCTTTGATTTTAATTCATTTGATATTAAAATAACATTACCCTGTGCCAGTGTCTTCCCTCAGTCTGTACTAATATAAGTATATGATTTGATATTACAGATCTGTATGTGAACATGCTAAAACCAAATTTCCACATAATGTAACGGTAAAAACTGGTCATGGTTTGGCTTTTGGTGTAACTGGAAGAAAGTTAGTTTAAAATTTCAATTTATCAAAAATTTGCTTTTGATTTTGAAAAAAATAACGATGTAGAAGGTTAAAACTTTGATACAAATAAATCTTTCTATGTGAATATATACTGTGGAAATTTGTTAAAAATTGTGACTCTTTAGTGGACAGATATTCAATATTTGATATTTTGATTACAAATATCTTTTTAGATGTATTTATATGAGAACATTTATCATGTTCATTATAGGTATGCAGCTGCAAAGAAATTGAATAGTTATGGATTAAAGGTGTATAATGTAGCCATGACATTACCATCTAGAAAGGGAGAAAACCTGTATGTTAGAGCCAAGTTTGTTTTAGAAACTTTAAACAATTTCTTAGCTTCAGCAGATTATACTATCACTGTAGAACATACTCCAACGTTCCAGAAAAATGATGCTGGTCAAATGATTCCAATTAATGAAGAGTTTAAATCAGTAAGTTATAAACCACTGGCTCAATTCTCAACTTACTAAGAACTTCATCGGTAAATCTTGAAGCTGCAATCCATGAACTGACCAGTTCAGTCATAACAGCAATATAAATGCTCCTTGAGATCTTGACATTAAAAATGCCTAGTCTCTTTTGGAATGATCTACAATATAAAAGATACTAAATGTTTGTGGGTTAAAAAATTGATTATTTTTTATACTAATGATACAGTAATTTTATAATTTAATTATTGAAATTGAATATAGTTTTATGTAGAAGAAGCTAATTATATATGGAAGAAAATGAAGGATTATAATGATAGACAAGTTGGAATGACTCATGATGGTTATTTAAAGTTATATCAACTATATAACCCAGTATTATCAGGTTATGATATTATACTGATTGATGAAGCTCAAGATTTAACACCTAGTAAGTTTATTTCCATTTATTCTCACCCCAGGTTGCTCATTAAAAACCCTTCATTGTTTTAGGATAATATGATACTTTTACTTGTTTATTAGAGGACATGTTTTAGGAATAAACTGTGGTCTATCATGCATTCACATGGTTCCTATTAATTCCAACCAATGTTCATTAAGGGAATTTTATATTACTGATAACTTAAAAGTAATGACCTCTCAGATAATACCAAAAGCCATTTGAGAATTAAATTGAATTTAAGAAATGACCCAAAAAGGGGTGTTCTCTTTTTGCTATTGTTTGGAGATTCAAATCAGTGGCCAGGACTAAATTCCTAGAACAATGGGAATTATGACTATATTCTGTACCTCAAAGTATTTTTAATTTTATAATGTTGTGGGTGAGTGTTATGGTTGTAGGACAACCTTTCTTACATCATTTCCAGTGGACAGTTTGATTTAGACTTCATTCTAAACTTATATCCATTTAATACTAAAGTCTGAACAAATTGCACACATGCCTCTGCCATTGTCATTGTCATTTGCTGTTGCTGTAAACAAGACTTTGTAGGCAATACACAGTTAATCCTAATCCTTTTATTGCCAATTAAAGTGCAGACAAAAAGAGAATACACCCCAAAAAATGAAATTAAAAATGGATTAACTATTTTAAAATCAAGACATTTTTGAGATCCATGACAGAATATGTTTACTTTGAAGGATCCATGTTGACAGATAGGTGTGTATCTTTTCAGAGTATAGTATTTGGTATTTGTATTCAATACATTTTTTTTATTGCAGCTATTATTGATATACTAGAGAAACAAAGACAAACTAAGATATTGGTCGGTGATCCTCATCAACAGATCTATTCATTCCGTGGTGCTGTTAATGCAATGCAACAAATACATGCTACTAAAACATTCTATCTTACACAGGTAATATATTGACGCATTTTGAGACAAGGCTCTTGGTAATATTTTCCATTTGATTTTTGTGAAAGAATATTATAAAATGTTTCAACTGGTACGAAAATAGTTTGATTTTTATTAATTTGCTAATTTAGTTATTATCTACTAAAATAGACATTTATTGTTTTTGACTTGCGGATTGGATTTTTCACCAGTTTTAAGAATGTGCATGTATGTTACATATTTCTATACATCTTATGAATATTTGTTTCTAGTCTTTCAGATTTGGACCTGAAATAGCTCATATTGCTGCATGTTGTTTAAGATTATTAAAGAATGTTAAAGATAAAACATTAGTTGGTCATGGTAAGCCTGGTGAGTATAGTTATAGACCTTATTCATACATCAGCAATATTGAAAACAGAACAAGGCTCAAAAATGCATACCTTGAAAAGGTAATGTTATATCACTGCGTAAAATCAGCACCTTAAAGCCTCCCTCTTCAATCCCACTAACTCGAAACTAATGTAATTTAGAATTGATGAAGCTATTAAATGATAATTTTACATGACTTTTGCCTTCACACTTTTCAGAGAAATGGCAGTTTTAAGCCCATTTTCTTGCTGTTTAGTGAGTGTTTGTCAAATTGTCTATTCATTCATATGATGTTGCATCTTATCAGTGGATGACGTAATTGGCGTTATGAACTTTGTTTTTAGTGTCTCAAAAACGAGGTGTGAATAAGGTCTATTGTTCAGATATTTAAGGAATGACCTGAACATTTTTTTCAGTTTATCGATGTATAAACAGAAAAAACCTATGTACATTGTATAAATCCGAAAAAACCATCGATAAACTGAAAAAATGTTCAGGTCATTCCTTATAATTAATTCAACTCGAATACTATTTATCTAAAATAGCAACAAGGCACTAAATTAGCACATAAATACATAAGATTTTAACATAACGTTAATGAACTATAGAGACGGCCAATCAGCAATAAGTAGATCACCTATTTATAGTCTACTGTCTATTGCATGAAAGTTGACGGAGCGGCCACATTGAAAGTTCAATTATTGAAAGACGAGTTCGAAATAAGTCCAAAAATTGTGATTTTTTTGATATTTGGAGTTGGAGTGTGCATATTCGAGGGAATTTGGAAAATACAGAAATCATTCAGTGAAGTGTCGATTTCGGCTCTGTTGACTTTTGAAGGAACGACAATGACCCCATATAGTGGCCTTGTCAATCAAACTCAATGATAAAAGTAGTCCGTTAAGGGGTGGAGCTTATATTTACATTCTGTTTACACAGATATAAACCGAATGCACATGACCACTGTTATCCAATCAAATTGCTTGATACTGTGTAAATCGTGATTTAATTATTAGATATTATACTTGAACTAATACTTGAATTTGATTGTTCAGTCTTAGTGAGAAGGCATCTTCTAGACCACATGCATTCTGATATCATAGCAATCATATCTAGATGTTTTGGTGAAACAGTAGGACAATTAGCAATCATATCAAGATGTAATTTTACTTAGTTTTATATTTGCCTAGGTTGTATTACTGGTGAAACAGTAGGACAGTTAGCTATCATATCTAGATGTAATTTTACTTTGTTTTGTGAGGCTGTGAAGAAATGTTGTTATTCTAATAATCCTACACTAAAAGTAGGCTTTGTTGGGGTTAGTTTTCTATTTTACTTCCATATGAATATATATGGCATGGTATAAAGATATAATATTCAAATATTTCAAATATTGAAATTTCCATAAATATCATGTTTCAAAGAATTCTGTAATGTTATTTTTTCACTCCATGATTAGTTCTCTTTCGTGTTTTAGGGTACTTCTGGATTTGGTTTCCCAATACTACAAGATATCTACAAATTACTGATTTCCCCTGAAGACAGAGTCAAAGGTATGTTATGATTCCAAAACTAACGCTATGAAGCTTATTCTTAATTTTATAACATACAATGGCATGTACATCTGAGTTTAAAAGGAAAACAATCATTTGGCCCAAAAATATACTTATAACTTATCAGTTGGTCCAGAATAAGTTTGTCTTTATATTCATCTTAATTGTATTAGAAATAGGACTAAAAATAGTAAACTCACTTTTTGAAACATATTTCCTTAGGATTTTTTTACATATTGAAATTTCTTAGCTGCTTTCAATTATAGTTGAAAGGTATTTTTGTATTCATTTGTTTTACCAAAGATGGTTAATTTCCCTACAGAGACATTAGCTGTTCATTTGTTGATGTAATTGTTTTAGATGGCAGAAACATAGAAAATAAGTTTATAGCTAGATTTTCTAATATTGGTGATATAGAGAAATATGCTAATAAAGCTATGGACCATGAGTTATTGGGTAAAATACGTATTGTAAGAACTTATAATCATAGTTTACCAAGTCATATCAATAAAATACTGGAGAAATCAGTCAATGATCTACAAGTAGCAGGTATGTTTTCAATATTTCTGATAACATTTCTACCATTTGTAACACAAATCAGCTCAATAACACTACCATGATTCACTAGTCTTTTATCCTTTTTACTTTTTATGCAAATATCAAAGAGATTGGCAAACAAGGTGCACTATCTTCCTCTACCACTCTGCAGTATATAACCTAAATGCTATCCTTGTTTGCCAGTACAAACAGAGTCTCTGTATTGTTGACGACTGATTAAATGTATATCGACTGTACTAAAAAACTAAAAACTAAAACTTCTAAAGATATATCAAAATGATATTAAAATATTTTATTTTTGGTTACATTATTATAATATATCATTAATTAATTGTGAGAGAATTTGTAGACTGTAGAAGATGTAGACTATATTCACATTACCATCTTACTATCATAGGACAAATCTTTGATAAAAAGTCATATGGAAGTAGCATAAGTAAGAAAAAAAGGATTCATTCCATTCATTATCCTGCTTTATGGAAGCTGCTGAGAGATGTTAAATACCAGCTCTATCTGATTTATACTATTGTATTGTTGAGTAATATCTACTTTACTATCTACTTCGTATAGCTGTTTTCTCCCTTTCATTTTCCAGATATTGTTTTCAGTACTGCTCATAAATCTAAAGGTTTGGAATTCTCTACTGTAAGAGTTACAGATGATTTCAACTACCTTGGACCAGGATCAAGTAAGCATCAATTAATTATTTATGTTTTTTTGACAATTTGAAATAGTAGTATAATTGTATATTTTTCAAATCTTCAACAACAGTTTTATAATACAGAATATTATATTATGTAATAAGTGATCTGGTAGAATAAACATATGTTGTACATTTGATTAACTTTTATAGGTATAAATTTTGGTTTGGGACCTGTACCACATGATGAAAGTAATTTATTATATGTTGCTGTCACCAGAGCTAAAAATGCGTTGCTAATGTCACCAGACATCCTGAAAATACTAAAAGAATCAGGAGTAAGTAAAACATGTCTAAAATTTCTATTCTGAGATATAAATGTGTTTCTCCAGAAATATGTGTACTTTACCTTAAAGGACATTCCTGGTTCATTTAGGAAAATGTGCTCCATCATCTCACAGCTCTAATAAAGAAATAGACCTCAAATATCAGACCTTTGCAATTTTGTGCCCAGTGGAATACAGTTTTCCCCAAACTGAGAAATTGTTGCATAAGAAATCATTAATAAATGTAATGTGATATAAATAAAAAAATAATGATTTGCAAGTGGTATTTGTCAAAAAAGGAAAATCTCTAAGGTCATGTGACATAATGTTTATCAAAGGATGTCATATAAGACAAACTATTAAATAACATCAGTGAACGCTTTTGGGCTCAGGCATATTATTATATTATATCAAATCAATATAACAGCAAGAAATATCTCACACAATGTAATATGTTAGTTTTGCTAAAATTTTAATTAGTTACCTTAATATAAATTAAAAAATTAAAAATTAAAATTTTTGCTTTGTATTTTCATAATATGCACAACCGGTCTCAAAAGAACATTATTTCATGTAATAATTCCATATTTTCATAACCAGCCAATGTCTTTAATATAAATTGCAAATTTTAGATGAGGTTTGAGACTCCTGTATTAAGTGAAGAATTGAAGACTAAGAATATTCCCTTCACATGTAAAATAACTGGGGCTGACTTTACACCTAAATTATTTACCATACAAAAACAAGATGTTAAATTGGTGAGTCATGTTATTAATGAAATAAAGATATTATTCTATGATGTTATATGGGTATTTTACAATTAGTTCCTTGAGCTGGTTACAAAAAATTGATCTTCTATAATTTACCTTCATTTGACAACAATTATTTGTGTTAAATGGCCATATACAAATTAGTCCCTGTGAAAATTAGTCCCATACCATAAAAACAACTAGACTCCATCAAATTGCCCTCAACGTGATTTTTAATGCCACTAGAGGTTTAGAAGTACAGGGGCACCATTTAGCCCTATTTAAAATGTTTCTGTTAATCTATTTAAAACCATTATTATGGAAAGACTATTAAACACTCATCCAATTGCTATTTTGTTATATTAAGGGATGTGGAACACTGATATCTGGAGGATTATTGAGTCCACAAATTCTGTATGAAGATGCTTATGCTTTCAAAGATTTATTTGGTGAAAAGCCAACAGTGAATCTTAATAGAGAAAGGCATCCTGGACATTGGAGACATAATAATGATGATGATGAAGATTTGATTTAGATTCCTGATTTAATGTTCATATAAAAATGTTATTTTTGGCTGCCCACCGTACTTATTGTAAGTTAAAAAACCCCATTTAAATTGCAGAAGACACGGTCAATGGCATTTCTTATATACATTTAGTGATTATGAAATAATTCATCTGATAAATATCAAGACCTATTGATCTCTTTTGAAAAGGTCTCATCTTTTGCCATTGAGATGTACACGTTTCAGATATGAAATTAATCATCAAGGCAACCAATTTCTGATGTTGTTATCAAAAGAAAGGCAGTGGTTGTGTCCATGACTTTTTATCAAACATCAACTATTTGTTCATTTTAAAGTTGATACAGTTTAAAAGATATGTTATATTTCTCTTTAAAACAAGGTTATGTTTGTTTCCCAAGAATGTGTGTTGATGTGTTGATGTGAGCAGAAAGCTTTTAAACTGGACATAATGTGCAATGAATGTATATATTTTTCCATTTTATTATGAGTACCCAAAAAGTTTAGGACTGAGGACCTAGTCTGTTTAGTGTATGATTTTCTACAAACTGTATGTGTTTAAGGCTAATGTAATATAATAAGACTCCCCAAGTTTCAGATATTTCACCCGAGCAATGTCAAAAGAAGGAATAATATCTTATTTTTATACGCCCACATGAAATGGGGGGGCGTATATTGCCGTCACCCATGTCCGTCGGTTTGTCCGTCCGTCCACAATTGCTTGTAAACACTCTACAAGTCACAATTCTTTACAGATTTTGAAAGAATTGTTTATTATCACCCAAGGATAAACCCTATCCGAAATCGATGAAATCGATAAAATCGAGAAATATTTAGTATGAGTTATTGCCCTTGTTCTTGAAAACGCGTTCAATTTTTAGCTCGTAAACACTCTAGAAGGCACAATTATTGATGGATTTTGACGAAACTTGGCATGAGTGTCTGTTATCAACCAAGGATGAACCCTATAGAAAATCAGAAAAATCGAAAAATATTTAGTATGAGTTATTGCCCTTGTTCTTGAAAATGCGTTCAATTTTGAGCTCGTAAACACTCTCTAAAGCCCCATTCTTGACGGATTTTGACAAAACATGGTGTGAGTGTTCGTAAGCACCCAAGGATTAACCCTATTGAAAATCAGAAGAATTGAAGAATATTTAGTATGAGTTATTGCCCTTGTTCTTGAAAACGCGTTCAATTTTTAGCTTGTTAACAGTAAAAGGCATGATTCTTGCTGGATTTTGACAAAACTTGGTTTTATTATTCAGTCCCGCGCTGAAGATTGAATGTTTGTCTTCTAGAGTTTTCAAGAAAAAGAGCAATAACTCATACTCAATATTATTCAATAGCTCTAAAGAGTTCAAAAGAAGTGTATGACTGAAGGTTGAATATGTCATACTGGTAATTGTTACTGTATTGCTAAATATTTTTATTCAAAATCAAAGCTGCCAGTGGGCGTATATTACCTTGCCTGGCAAGCTATCTTTTATGTAAATTATCATATTGGTTAGGACAGGGACTTTTAGATTTGCTCTCATCGTCACTGTTAGATATGTCAAATGTTCATATGTAAAATCATCTGAGATAATGTTAGACTTTGTTAGAAAGTCTCTAATGATTGTTTCAATGGTGCTATGTTTTACTTTTATTATATACCTAAATAGGCTACATTTTAATAGTACTATTATATGATTATGTCTTTAAATTAGAGTTGATCCTGTGCAAGATAATTTAGAAACCTACTGAACTGAACATAACCTTCAGCCCGAAGGCGTTTTCAAAGGAAACCAAAGTACTGCTTGTCAATCCAATTTCATAAATTTAGTGCATTTGGAAATATATTTCAATGGCATGGTTCCATGAAGCCACACATTTCCTTTCATTTGAGTGTACTAGGGCATTTAAGATTATTGCATTGTTTAGGTTCCACAAATTTCAAAAACAAATCCGTGTGAGTGCGTGGGTGAATTCCTGTAAGGCCAATACTAGAATTTTTGTTAAAATTGTAATGTTATATAATTACTGCAATCTTATATTTTTCATTTTATCAACATTTATAGTGCATTAAAAAAAATTTATTATTAAAAAAATAATAACTTAGATGTCTGGAAATATCCAATTATGCATCATTTGTATAGTTGCTGCCACTATCAAAACTAGCTTCTATTACACGTTTCGTAGCTTTTTTCAATTCCATTCTTTCAATTCCGATAACAATCGGTATTAATTACACGGTGCCTGATCTCATCAGACGCGTTTACCATATTTTCCTCAATGCACCACTTATAATTAGCGAATAGATAAGTTCTTGGAAGACTTCTCCAGAATAACCATATATATAATATAATAATAGTGTTAGTTGAGAATTGAGCAAACATTAATATAACGTATATCAGGCACATATTTAAATAGGAACTTAAGTAAAGGGTTAGCTCAAACTAAAGATGTAATGAATAGAAAATATGTTATTGTTAATCTGTATAAATTGTTGGTGCAAGAGAGCTTCGGTGAATTTGTGTTAAGTATTGATATTTATGTATTTAGAGCTTTTTATTAATGCGGTGAAATTATCTCGCACAGGTAATGAGTTATTTCTAATTATTTTGTCGATACGAACATTCAGCATTGGTGCGTGATATTTTCTAAGCTGTAGATGGGTCTATGGTAAGTGTGCATTGATTTGCAATGCTTGTAAATAGTTAAATTGTGTCAACACGAATCTTACTGCTAATTATTGTTAGATGAAATAATGATATGTTTGAAACAAGTATTGATTGTAAAAGAATTGTGATCGTTATGTCAATACTCCTACACCTCAACCTAAACAGTCTGAAGTTTCAATTATAATATAATTGCCATTATTAAAATCTACCTATAATACCACATTTCATATCACATATTGCCGTCACCAACATCGTCCGTCCGTTTTCTTGAAAACGCGTTCAATTTTTAGCTTGATGGCACAATTCTTGACGAATTTTGACAAAACCCATGGATGAACCCTAAAAGGCATGATTCTGCCGGATTTTGACAAAACTTGGTTTTATTATTCAGTACCGCGCTGAAGTTTGAATATTTGCCTTCTACAGTTTTCATGAGCTAAAAATTCAACACGTTTTCACGAACAAGGGCAATAACTCGTACTCAATATTATCGCCCAAAGGAATTCAAAAGAAATGTATGCGCTGTCAGCTTTGATTTTAAATAAAAATATTTGGCAGAACAGTAACAATAACACTTCTTTTGAACTTTTTGAGGCGATACTGAATAATATTCAACAGAATCTGTCAAGAATTAGGCCTTCTAGAACGCTTTTTTAAGAACCGGGGAAATAACAGTTTTTGGTTTTTCTGATTTTCGTTACTGTTCATATTTGGGTGATTACATACACTCACACCAAGTTTCATCTAAATCAGTCAAGATTTGTGCCTTCTGGAGTGTTTACGAGCTAAAAATTGAACGCGTTTTCAAGAACAAGGGCAATAGTAGTATATTCCCATTCCATGGGAAAAATGCATCCAATCTGACACCCCCCAAAAAAGACCTATACACCCTACATTCCATCAATTCCCACCCCAAAAAAAAACCTATTCACCCTACATTTCATCATTAAATTAACTCATTTTAGTTTAATTTTAAAAAACACGAACAAGCATAACACATGAATTTGTTAAAATTAACTCAAATTGAATCTATAGTTGATTGGGAAAAAAAAGACCACAATTTCTACTCAAATTTTAAACCTTAAAAATGGCAAATAAAAATTACATACT